GTACCCGGCAGGACTAGGCTCCGGGAGGCAGGAGAGGCCATCCACCCCGGCGTCCGCACATGGCATGCACTGCACGGGAAGCCATGGGTTGCAGCCCCACTGCCAGTAACTGCCTGTAGCACTGTGGAGCTGTCTGAACCAACCTGGCGCTCTGCTTCCTCATTCTGGGAACAGGGAAAGGGCTGCACTGTGGCTCCAAACCAACATACTGAGGAGGCCGATGATATGAACTCTGTACGAGGAGTGCTCTGCAAACCAAAATACTAAGGACGTCAATATGAATTCTGTATGAGGAGTGCTCTGCAAACCAACATACTGAGGACGCCAATGATATGAACTCTGTACGAGGAGTGCTCTGCAAACCAACATACTGAGGACGCCGATGATACGAACTCTGTACGAGGAGTGCTCTGCAAACCAACATACTGAGGACGCCGATGATACGAACTTTGTACGAGGAGTGCTCTGCAAACCAACATACTGAGGACGCCGATGATATGAACTTTGTACGAGGAGTGCTCTGCAAACCAACATACTGAGGACGCCGATGATATGAACTTTATATGAGTGGTGCTCTGCAAACCAACATACTAAGGGCGCTGCTATTAGCTCTGTACAAAGAGTGCTCTGCAAACCAATATACTAAGGACACCAATGATATTAACTCTGTATGATATTAACTCTGTACGAGGAGTGCTCTGCAAACCAACATACTAAGGATGCCGATGATATTAACTCTACGAGGAGTGCTCTGCAGCCCATGCTCGTCAAATCTCTTACTGCACCATCACACCATCTTTTTACCTGTTTCTCAGTCCTGTTTTCTGGATGGGGAAACTGAGGCTTAGAGAGAATGCATGTACATAATGAGTCAACTGCAAATCCACATCTTACTCAAAACCCCGATGAGGACTCCATTTTTATTTCGAATTTTACATTTCTGGGCTCTGAAAGTGCTACTATACGGTGTATCTTTCTCATGTTTATTTAAAAATAGACAGAGGCCCCTGAATGGCTCAGGCATGAAGTGTCTGACTCTGGATTTTGGCTCAGGTCATGATCTCATGGTTCATGGGACTGAGCCCTGTCTTGGGCTCTGCACTTAACGGCACATGGAGCCTGCTTAGGATTCATTCTCTCTCTCTCTCTCTCAAAACAAACAACCAACCTTAAAAAAGACCATTTTGGTAAAATAAAATGGATGCTGTTTTGACAGGCTCCTTGCATGGCTGGGGGCGGGAAGGAGTTCAGGAGCAGGAGTCACCGCCATCCCCCTCGGTCACTGCTGCAGGCTGGCCTGTGTGGAGGAGGGGGCTCCTCAGTTCCCCCGTCCTGCAAAGTGGGATGAGGGAAGGGCTGACCACCTGCGGGGCAGGTCACCACTAACTGCTCTCTGCCAGATGGGGACAAAGCGCACGCACACACACAGTATTCCGGGGTCCTACGACCCACAGTTCACCATCGTCATCACCACCAACTGAACCTGCTTGACACTTTACAGTTTACAACGCACCCTTTTCGTGGTGAGCTGAGATGTTGCGTCCTCATTTCGAAAGGTGGGATTTTCAAAGCCACTCAGCGGCCGAATCAGCCTCAGCCACAGACAGTTCCTCTCCCACTGCGTGGGCCCTGGGCTCAGCCCTCTGGGTCTGCCGTCCTGATAGGGATCCCAGGATCTCGGGCAGCTCTGCGATGAGGGCACAGAGAGAGCCCTGGGGAGGGTGTGTGAGCCTCTCTGTCCAGCCTCATCCCTGGAAGCCGGAGGGGAAGATGAGGGGCTAATCAAGTTCTCTGAGCCCCACACTCTCTCTTCTCTCAAAGGCAGAGAGCTTTCTCAAATGGAGCAAAGCAATTTCTTTGCCAAGAGAGCTTTCAAGTTCACCTTCAGAACAGCATTTCTGCTCTGCAGAGAGCCAAAAAGAGGAACACCTTCCCTGAAAGAAAATAAATAAGGAGAGAGAAAGTATCTAGGGCCCCAATTTTCCCCCAATAGGATCTGAGTGCCTGGCACCTGGGATTCAGTGTCCCCCACCTCTCCCCCGACCCTCGGCCCCCCAAACAATGACGCAGGTGTGGGGAGGCTGCTGCAGAGGCCGACAACGTGGCACGCTCCCTCTCTAGCACCCCCAGGAGAGTTCCGGGTGCTGGAGAAGAAACGCCACCCCTTCGTTTCTGGGTTACGTGGGGGCCTTAGGAGCCGGCCTTGCCCATGAGTAGCTCTCTTGATGTGAACACGTTCCACAGACCACCCACCCCCCTCCTAAGACTCTGCAGACTGCCGCTAAAATGCCAGTATGATCAGACAGAATAAAAACCATTATGAGGGGCGCCTGGGGGGCTCAGTCGGTTGAGCGTCCGACTTTGGCTCGGGTCGTGATCTCACGGTTCGTGGGTTCGAGCCCTGCGTCGGGCTCCGTGCTGACAGCGCAGAGCCTGGAGCCTGCTTCGGATTCTGGGTGTCCTCCTCTCTCTGCCCCTCCCCTGCTTGTGCTCTCTCTCTGTCTCTCAATAATAAATAAACGTTAAAAAACAACAACAAAAAAAAACCATTATGAGAAAAATCCCAGTCGCCTGGACGTAATGTACCAGGAAGCCATCGAGTGCCCAAGGGGGACTCCAGGGAAGAGACACCATGTACTTTGGGAAAAGGGCAGCGAGGTAGGGGTGCCCTCCGTGAGCAGGGACCCGGGGTAAGGTTCCGGGGGACACAGCCAGTCCTCTGCCCAGTGCCCTCGGAGCTCTGTGCGCCCATCCACGGGCCTGCCCCAGCGGCTCCCGTCAGGGGTCTGCCTTCTACCAGTCCCGGGGAGCTGCAAGTGCCTCGGGGTGGCCTGGGCCCATCTCTGAGTCGGAGGGCACGTATGAAAGCCCAGTCCCCTGGTCTCAGGTGGGGACAAATGCTGAGGTGAAACTTATGTCCAGTGGCCCCATGGAATCAGAATGAAGGCAGCCTCCGTGGGACTCTGCCTGAGGTCCCACTCTCGTTTGGCGTTCGCCCCTTCCACGCCCCACACCCCCACCACCCTCCCTACGAGCTTCCCCTGGGAGCACTTCCTCAATAAACTACTGGCACCCAAATCCTCCCCTCCAGGTGGGCTTCCACAGGACCCCCCCACCCCCCACCCCCAGGGAATGGGGCTCCCCCGATGAGGCAGGGGCGAGACAGGTCTATATCCACTCTTCAATTTTCACTTCCGGCCTCCTGTAGAACAAAGCTGGGAATTAAAGCTTAGAATCTAGAGTCGTCCGTGCAGCTGGACGAAAACGGCCCCTTCTGACACAGCAGCTTTGCTTACTTGTGCACTGAGTCAAATTCACGGCTAAGGACTCATCTGGTGCCGTTGCCTAACACGTGTGGGCAGGAGGGCTGGAAACGGCTGCTCTTTTTCTCCACGGTGATTAGTATTATTTGCATAAATCTGCAGAGGCACTTGCCACGAAGAAATAAAGCGTCCACCTAAGCGGCGCATGAAAATCGGCATAATGTCAACCAAAAGAGGAGATTAGAAAGGAAAGTGTCGCCAGAAATGTTAGCTTATCCATCTTCATTCTTCCCCTTCAACACTGTTTGCTGCTGCGTATATCACATTTGCATAATTAAATCGCTGGGAGCTTGTGTTTTAATCTGGATGCAAAGTGTGTATTATTTCGACCGTGTAAAAAAATATTTGATGTCTGATTGAGTTTTTGATGCTCACTCTACAAATTACCAAAGACAGACAAATAGTTTGGTTTTTCCATTCCCTTCCCCCCCCCCCCCCCGCCCTGCCCCAAGCTATTTGACCATGAAGAGTGTAGATATTACTAGAAGGTTATGGGTAGACTAGTGCACACAGATTTGGGCCTTGAAGGGGCCGTGGGGCGTAGGGGACGCGCCCCGGTCAGCCCGCCCGCGTCCCAGGGTCTTACTTTGGCTTTGCCACCAGTTTGCTGTGTGATGTTGGGTGGGGGCCATTTCTCTCTTTCTCGTTCAGTTCGAGAAATATCTATTGATGTCTACTCTGGGCCAGTAAGGGACTAACTAGATCTACACTGTCCAATACGGTAGTGACTAGCCACATGGGGCTATTTAAGTATAAAGCTAAATTAATTAAAATTACATAAAATTAACATTCAGTTCCTCAGCTCCACCAGACACGTTTGAAGAGCTCAGCAGCCACCTACTACGATGGTTACTCTATTGGACGGTACAGATCTACAACATTTCCAAGTGGAGAAAGTTCCACTGGACAGTGCTGAGCTAGATGGTCTCTAAGGGTCCCATCTTCGTCTCTAATGTGCTATGATTAAAATGATACAAAAATGAGCCCAAGTTCATACTGGGCTTTGCAGCGCAACGCTGAAGCTTCTGCCATTTTATGGGTGTTCCCCGGGAGGCCTTTACAGACTGGGTGGGGCTGAGGGGCAACCACAGGGGACAGAGGGACAGCTTTCTCCAAATTAGGGCCTCCCAGGAGGAGACAGGCATATGCACAATCAGTTCACCAGTGTGGGGGCTAAGAATGGTTCCTAATCTGAGTACAGGATTGGCCGCCTCAAATTTCCAAACGGAAGCCCGTCTGTTATGTCATCCCACTGCTGGGAGTAGCCCAGGCCGCCGTCATAACTGCTGTTCCGTCTGGATCATGTTCTTCAGCACGTGAGTTAATTCTCCCGCCAGTGCTGTTGTTACACCATCAAGGTGTTAACACAGGCAGGGCTATGTTTCAGCATAGGCAGCAAGAGAAGAACAGGAAGACTGAACTGGGGTTTACCTTATATGGCCAGCCCCTGGGATGGTGTGAGAGTTTATGTTATTTTTCAACAAATATTCACTTGGGTTTTGCCATGTGGCTTGAGTTGGCCTCACAGGGTAGAGATGTGTCCCATCTCCTTGATCTTGGGCCTGAGCATGTGACTTGATTTGGCCAACGGGGCGTCCGTGGACGAGACACAGGCAGAAGCCTGGAATGTAGTCGCATGAACGGTTTGGACTTCTGTGCTTCACTAGCATGAAAGGACCCACTTCTGGCTGGTTCACTGGCCTTGAGGAGTGGAGCTGAGCTGGATCCACCCTGTGGGCAGGCCGAGCCTACCTGAGCCTAGCCTAGATCGGTGGAACCCAGAGAACCCGCAATCATATGATCAAGAAATAAATGCTTATTGGTGCAACGCGACGAAGCTCAGGGTGGTTTGTTATGTTATTACGTTATTGTGTTATGTTATTGTGGCAACAGCTGACTGTGACCCATGATGCGAGAAGGGAGGGCCAGGCCTGGTGTGGGGAAAGGACACGGTCTGAGGCTGTGATTTTGGGAAGTAACTGAGCTCTCCTGAGGAGCTGGTCTGGCAGCACCATATTAAGCACGGTGAAGACAGACCAGGTAAGTTATGACAACCACAGACCCACATGGACCGGCAGAAGCCTGCTCAGACCAGAACAGCAACTCAAAAAGGGAAACGTGGATGTTGAAACCACCTCTATCACTAGATTATAACTTTGCTTTCTTTAAATGTTTATTTATTTTGAGAGAGAAAGAGGGAGAAAGAAGGGGAGGGCCAGAGAGGGGGGAGAGAGAGAATCCCAAGCAGGCTGTCAATGCAGAGCCAAAGGCAGGGCTTGATCTCACAAATGGTGAGATCGTGACCTGAGCTGAAATCAAGAGTGGGACTCCTAACTGACTGAGCCACCCAGGCGCCCCCAGAGCTTTGGTTTCATGAAAGACCTACATGCCCCAGCAACCCTCGTCAGGCATATTATTTTCCTCTGTTGCAAATCTGTTGTAACTGTAAGGGAAAGGGGAAGCTGAAACTAACCTCCTTCCTCAAAATCTTCGTTTTGTGATCACCAGAGACCCCTGGGCACAAAAGCACCGGCTTGTCGCTGTGTCTACTGTAGGACAGACCCACAAAGCCACACGGGAATGGCAGCCATGAGCTGGGACAAACGACACCACAGCCATCCTGCAGGCTCTGTGGGAGGAAACACCGCTAAGTGGCCCCACGTGTCACTGTCCCGCGAAGGATGATGTTTGTCTCTCAGAGGATCAACACGGGCAACTAGACGAATGGCAGCAAGGTACTTGAGGGTTTGCTTATGCTCTTTTAGAAATGAAACAGACCCTGAAACCTCTGTAGAACTGTCTCCCACAGAAGAACGTTCCCTGAACTGTTCATAAACAAATTTTGCCATATTAAAAGCCAAACAAGCACAAAACTTTAGCTGATGTGTTTCACTTGGGTGATTGGGGGAGAAAACAAGTTTGAATATGGTTTGTGCTATGATGGTTTCATAAAGTTTCTCTGCCCCCGTTTGAGGGCTGGGTCAGCGGTGAGTACAGAATCATAAGGGGAACGCGCATTAATGAGCTGAGGGCCGAGAATCAAATTTCCCTACTTGAGCTGTCGTGCAAGGGGACGGGCTAATGCGCCCAGTCATATCCGAAATGCACAGCCACGGGCTCCTTGACAGCCATGGGCAAGCGTGCACAAGAGACAGGAAGAGGCCTGCCCGCCAAGCTGCTGGACTTGCGCTACAATCGAATGCTTCCCTGCCGCGTCTCTGTGGAGCCCGAGGTTTCTACTAGATTTCCCTTGTCTACGTTGCAATCAAAGCTGATTTAGGGGCTCCTAATAATTAGGATGTTGCTACTGTTATTAGAGCTAACGTCATACAAGAAATACGCAAGCAGCCACTGCCTAATAAAGAGCCAAATGAACAAAAAAGTAAACCACCGAAGGGCTGTGGTCTTGTTTTAATGTGAATCCTCACAGGTTCCCATGGCATTGTAATCGTGTAGAACAATGAATAAGCCTGTGTCACCGTGGAAGCTTCTCCTACAGCCTAACGCTCATTAGCTTTTTGTTTCCCACCCCAGCCAGTGAGGAGACTACTGGGGACAGAATGGGAGTGAGGAGCCACAGCAGGGCTGGTGTGCTCTTCTCTGGGCTTTTACACAGCTCACAGGAAGGACAGCTACTCACCTGGACAGCACTTGGGGCATGTGATATTACCTTTGGTGTTTAAACACTTTAAAAAAGATAACACCCGTTGATGCCCGAGTTCGTTAAGTTCGTATAGATTTGCCTGTAGTGTTCTTTCCTCTCACAGCATCACAGCACTGTTGGGAGCTGGGCCAGCTCTGGGGAGAAGGCGAACCTTCTGGCCTCCAGCAACTCATCAGAACCACGCTAAAGCTGGAAGCCCCTCCACGTTCGGGCAAGAGGCAGGGCCTGTAGGAATCAAGGGGCAGTTTCCCTCCACGCTTCCCCGTGATTTGGGGCATGTAAGCCCAGAGATCCTCAGTGGCCCTACGCAAAGCACAGATTAAAAAAAAAAATTTTTTTTCAATGTTTATTCATTTTTGAATAAAAGACAGAGAGACAGGGGTGGGGCGGAGAGAGAGGGGGACACACAATCGGAAACAGGCTCCAGGCTTTGAGCTGTCAGCACAGAGCCCGGCGCAGGGCTCGAACCCATGAACCGCAAGATGATGACCTGAGCCGAAGTCAGGTGCTTAACCAGCTGGGCCCCCCAGGCGCCCCGACAAAGCACAGGTCGTGATCCGGCTCCCTCAAGAGGAAGCAAGGAGGGTCCTGTGGGCACCTGGGACTGCACATGGCAAGCTTGGTGGCCAGCCTTCTACCCAGGGCCATCTCCTCGCCCGACCTCCTGGGCCCACTAGCCTGAGATCTGTAAGGTCTCACCCATGCTCAGGAACTACCCTGTGGGGTCCGGGACGCTTGTGTGCACCACTATCATATGCCCTCCCACGCTGCATTTGTAATAATTTAGCACAAGTCTCTCTTCCCCATCAGGCTTCGAGCTCCTTGTGGGCAAGGGGACTTTACTCAAACTTTACTTCCAGGGCCTGGCTCAATCCCCTACAGGAATTCCATTCTTTCTCCTCCTCCTTCTTTCCCCTGTCCTTCCTCCCTCTGGATGTTTGGATGTCCTCTATGTATGCTCTATGCACTCTGCCATAGACCATGCAGTCTCCACGGAGGAACTAAACATAGCAATGCCATGAAATGCTACAACGGGGTAGGCATAAGATGTTACCCCACGCTAGTCGGAAAAGGCTGTCAGCTGAGACCTACAGGGAGAGCAGGGATGTGCCGTGGGAAGGATGGGAGGACAGGAGGTGGAGCAGAGACGGAACACGGCTCCAGGTGGAGGGGACAGCTGGAAGGCAAGCAAAAGCACGGCCAATGAGGGTAACTGCTGGTGGCCACAGTGGCCGCGGTGAGAGCACAAAGAGAAGCTATGGAGACTCGCCCATGGGCTTAAGCCAGGCAGTCTGGTGCCTTCCCCAGAGGCTCCTTCCTGCCACCTTCTACATGACCCGCTGCTCTCTAGCAGACACATCATGACAGTCAGGATTTCATTTTACCTGCCTCTCCAAAGTCCCCAGTGTCGTACTCATGCCTCACAAGGAACGCTAGGCTTCTTCGTAAAGAGCATGAACCCTACCCTTTCCTGCACATTGAGGTCCCTGGTTCTCTTTCTCTGCACAAGGTGAGCTCAGCAAACACTGGCTCTTTTCTTCCTTTTTTTATTCGAGAGAGAGAGAAAAAGAGAGAGAGTGCGCACGCAAGCAGGGGAGAGGGGCAGTGGGAGAGAGAGGGAATCTTAAGCAGGCTCCACGCTCGGCATGCAGCCCGACACGGGGCTAGATCCCACAACCCTGGGATCGTGACCTGAGCCAAAACCAAGAGTCGGACGCTCAAATCGACTGAGCCACCCAGGTGCCCCTGGATGTTCATTTTCATGGTTGGTGACTTTCCGTAACAACTACAAGATAAATAAGAAGTATTCTTTCGTGTGTGCTGTGGAAAATAAATCTGAAGTGAATTCATTGAAAAACACGCCAGTAAGTAGAGCTCCTATATCCTTGGGTTCTCTTGTTCTAAAATAACTCATTTAAAAAACCATTTGCCAAGTAGTTTTAAGTATACATCATTGAACATGACAAAAGAATGCGAGCCAATCATCTGCATTTGAGGGCTCTGTCACATATAGACTCCTTGCTTTTTCTGATGAGCTTCCAACTTTTCTAATGGCTTAAAAATAACCTATAATACATGAGTCATTACTCAGGATTTATCTTCAAAGAACTCCAATTACAGAATTCAGTCACTAGAATCCCCCCCTTTTAAACACAGGAACAAGTATTCAGGGAAAAAAAAATCACAGAGTTCACAAGTAAAGATTTCCATTTTTTTTTCTGAACAGAACAGGCATTAAATACAAATGCCATCACTGCGGCTCTGGGTTCAAAGGCACAGTGCATCGGCTTTAAGATTCATCCTGGTAGGAGACTCAGTCCAAAGTCACACACGTGCTAAGTAGGCCTGTCATGTGTATATACTGCTTTCAAGTGTTTAGTACGCAAGATGTCCTTTCGTTTTTGGGTGAATCATAAAATAAAGAATTCTTTGGGGCGCCTGGGTGGCGCAGTCGGTTAAGCGTCCGACTTCAGCCAGGTCACGATCTCGCGGTCCGTGAGTTCGAGCCCCGCATCGGGCTCTGGGCTGATGGCTCAGAGCCTGGAGCCTGTTTCTGATTCTGTGTCTCCCTCTCTCTCTGCCCCTCCCCCGTTCATGCTCTGTCTCTCTCTGTCCCAAAAATAAATAAACGTTGAAAAAATAATAATAAAATAAAATAAAATAAAATAAAATAAAATAAAATAAAATAAAATAAAGAATTCTTACTTTGACCATTTCCAGTATAGGGTTCCTAGTCCACAAACAGCTCAAAACACTGGAAGGAACACACAAGACGGCTACTTCCCCAACTCTGAAAAATCAAGAGACGGCTGAGCTCCTTCCAGACCAGGCTCTGACTGATCTTGCCAACTCCATTGCTTCCCCCTCCTCTCTTTCGTGCATTTAACACTCCATTTGACATTGACTTTCTTTCTCTACACATGGCTCTTCCTTTCCTACCTCCGTACTCTTGCTCATGCCATTCCTGCCTCTGGAATTCTCTTTCTTCCACATCTGTATGTCCAAATCATACACACGGATCACACGTGTGTCAAACTCATCTCAGATGCGACCTTATCTAAGAACCTTGCCCCGGTATGCAGAAAAAAGGAGATGTTCACCCCAGTGGAATCACTGAACCATGCATTGCTGGTTTGTGCCATTGACTCTGGGCTCATTAAGGGCAAAGTAAACTCCAGGTGACCCCTAGTGCATAGCTTGATTTACAACAGCCATCAATACCTGCTCCCTACATGAGCAGTAAGGTATTAGGAAGCCATCAACAGGCGTATTTGCTGATTTAATGGTAAGTTAAAGTAAATGGATGGGAGCACTGAATCTTAACCCCACTGAATCCCACTGAATCTTAACCACATACATGCATCCCTACGTTTATTGCAGCATTATTTACAATAGCCAAATACCGAAGCACCCAGTGTCCATTCCACTGAGAGATGAATGGATAAAGAAGAGGTGGACTTTTATGGACTATTACTCAGCCATATAAAAGCCATTTGCAAGAACATGGACGGATCTAGAGAATATACTGCTAAGCAAAATAAGTCAGAGAAGGACAAATACTATATGACGTCACTCATATGCAGAATTTAAGAAACAACACAAATGACAAAGGAAAAAACAAAGAGAGAGACAAACTAAGAAACAGTCTCTTATCTTCCGAGAACAAACGGACGGTTACCAGAGGGGACATGGGGGTGGCAGGATGGGCGAAACAGGTGGTGGGGATTAAGGGGTGCACGTGAGATTAGCACCAGGTATTGTATGGGATTGTTGAATCACTAAATAGTACACCTGAAACTAATATTACTGTATGTTAACTATACTAGATTTAAAATGAAGAACTTATCGAGCCCCGCGTCGGGCTCTGTGCTGACTGCTCAGAGCCTGGAGCCTGTTTCAGATTCTGTGTCTCCCTCTCTCTCTGACCCTCCCCCGTTCATGCTCTGTCTCTGTGTCAAAAATAAATAAACGTTAAAAAAATAAATAAAATAAAATAAAATAAATAAATAAAATAAAATAAAATAAAATAAAATAAAATAAAATAAAATGAAGAACTTAAGGGGCACTTGGGTGGCTCAGGTGGTATGCGTCCAGCTCTTGATTTCGGTTCACGTCATGAGCTCACAGTTTGTGAGTTGGAGACCTGAGTCAAGCTCTGTGCTGACAGAGTGGAGCCTGCTTGGGATTCTCTCTCTGTCTCCGTGCCCT